AAATATTCGTGTAGCACCTCTGCGCAGCTTGCACCCTTAGGCAACATTTTCAAGACCTCTGTCAGAATGCTCTCTACATGGACTTCTCATGCAGCCACAAAATATCCAATTTTAATTAACCCCTTAATCCCAAAGAGTGACTAGCATCACAAACTAAGGTCACGAGAAAAAGAGAAACGATCACCAACTAAAGAAGCTCTTGATTGTTGGAAAATTTTCCGCGATAGCGCCATTGGAAATATACGGAGAACACTATAAGAATTTGTATATTGAACTTAGGATGCATTACTAATTTCTCCTTTCTTGTACATGCAACATATTCAATCAAACAGCAACACCGTAAAGGACGTGGTAGAGGATCTGGACGTGGAAAGACTTCTGGACGTGGCCACAAAGGACAGGGTCAACGAAACACAAAACCTAGGCTTGGATTTGAAGGAGGCCAAACACCTCTTTATCTTCGTGTCCCAAAGCATGGCTTCAAAAACATGTACGTGTAAACATTATATATTTCCAAAATAGAGGTTAAATGATTTTTGGGAAATGCAGTGAGATATTTTTTTGCTTAGTCAACCCTTTGACCTCTTAAGAGTGACTAGCATCTAATTTCTCCTTACAATATCACCCTTGAATAAAACATTAATGTCATGAGAATAAAGGAAATCATCAACAACTAAAAATGTTCTTAATAGCTAAACAAATTCTCCTCGTCAGCACCTTAGGAAATGTATAGGGAACAGTATTGGGAATATGCATACTGATGTTAGGGTGTATAGGGCTACAGAATTTGGTGATCTTCTACACAAAATGTCAGCAAGCAGAATTATTACTTCATCAACTCACAAAGATATGAGGGAAGTTCTCCTTTTATGTATTTTTTATCCGCATTGTAGCTTCCAAACAGCTGTGATATGGGTAGATGAGGTAGCAAGAATTTCATAGAAAATCCTTCTTCTGATAATAGTGAATGATATAATTGAAAATCTAGCATTGCATAACATCAGATCTTTGAAAGATAGGCACAAAGAACAGTGTCATAAATTAACTCTTTAACTCAGTCATATCTAATACTGTGCCTAAACTCCATCATCTGCTACTACCCAAGAACATTCAATTTCATAGGTAGATACAGCTTAGAAACCAGAATAATTTTATGTTACCAAAAAAGTGCACTAATTGTTTCACAAGCACATTTATTCCATCCATGTCCAATTGCTACAATGTTTATACAAAGTTTTTTATATTCATTTTATACTACATGGAATTTTTATGTTATAACTTGAACTTTTAAATTTATAAATTTCATGCAATTCAGTCTTAAGAAGATGCAAATTTTGAATATTTTGATACACTATCTATCTATCTATCTATCTATCTATCTATCTATCTATCTATCTATCTATCTATCGATCGACCAATCTATCAATCTGTCTATTTAAAGGTATATATCTAAGTATTTATCGGGCTAGTATCTATATATTTCTTGATTACCGAAATGTTATTTACATCAAATCACAAGTGATATGAGGAAAAATGACTTCACTGTATGCTTTGGTATCATGCTTTAAAAGAGGGAGAATTTGTAATATTTCATTTATTTGATATCTATCTGTTAACCCTTTAGCTCCCAGAAGTGATTAACCTGTAGCTTCTCCCAACAATATCTAAACATTATTAACAAACAGCTGATGAGAATACTCAAACTTATCAGGTTAAGTTGTTATCTTGATCTAACACCAAATTCTCATTACTAATTAACAAGGAAATGTGCAGCAGCTAGTGGGGGGAAATAGATATTTGAGGTTAAAGTTAATTGATTGTCTTTGTCCTATTTTGACTTTCAGATACAAAATGCATTATAGACCTCTGAACTTAAACCGCCTTCAGTTCTTCATAGATAGTGGCCGTTTAAACCCCAATGCACCCATTACCATGTATCATCTTTGGAGATCAGGAGTTACTGGAGGAAGAATAAAGGATGGGGTTGTATTGCTGGGAGGGGTAAGTAGTTCAGCTGCTCTACTTTTATGAAAATGATGCATTTTGATTGTAGCAGGATTAGTAGAATTTTCTTTAGGTAAGTGATGCCTTCCTCTTTCCTATCTCAAGAATCTATTTCACTCTCCAAGAATTATAATCGGTACATTTTTGATCAGAGTTTAAAGTGCAATTAAGTGAGAGCTAGTTAGACATTTGAATGCTGTAAAGGAACTGCAAGGAAATAAAAGTACTTTTTGACACACAACTTGTTTTTATCTGGCAGGGTACAACTTGGTTCCAAGCTAAAGTTAATATCGAGGTTAGCAAAGCATCAAAAACTGCTATAAAAGCCATTGAACGACAGGGTGGAAAAATCACATGTGCTTATTACAACAAACTGGGCCTTCGTTTGTTACTTAAACCAGAAAAGTTTGAAGGGAAGAGGATTCCAAGAAGAGCTCGTCCTAATACAAAGTTAATGGAATATTACACAAGTGTTGAGAACAGAGGATACCTGGCAGATCCTGATGAACTTGAAAAGGCCAGGCAACTTACTTACAAACTTGAAAATGAAGTGGATTAAAGCAGAATGTACTAACCGTACTTGTAGTGTTGTATTAATAAGGTCTGTAAGCAAGGTTTTACAATATCAAATAATGTGTGAACACTAGTTACATGCATGTAAATAATAAATAGAGTTCTCTAACACTTATCCCATATGGCCTGTTGGTGCTTTACAGTAAAATTTGATATTGACTTCCCCACTCTGTCACTGTGTGGAATTTTCAAATACAGATTCTGTGAGGCATTAGCGTAAGTGTGATAAGTACTTTTTGATCGAGGGTTGTGAACCAAAACCATAGTGAACAAAATGTCTAATTAGACCAAGAGCAAATATCACCAATAAATACCAATGGGATTTCAGAGTTATTCACATAACTAGCGGGAGGTATGCAGGAAAACACAAGTGACCTAGTTTTAGTTTGTATCTGATTGGTTGAGATTGTGGTGCAAGTACTCTAGAGCAATCTTTGAGAAAAGTTGGGAAAAACCAATGTACTCCTGTCAATTACTTCGGACATACACTTGAAAGTTTCTGTAAGATCTGATGAAAGAACACTACCTGGATGTGTGCCAGTGTTGCTTGAAGCTTTTGTACTCCTTGTGAATAAAGTGCCACAGGCTTTCCTTTCTTCTTTCCTTTGTTTCATTTTTACTGCATTTCTTTACTGGTCTCATACTTTGCTTCATCTAAGTGGCCTTAATTTTTTCTCTTTCTTTATTATTAGGGAACATGTAAGAGCAGGCATGAGGCACAAGGCAAGGGTGATCAAATCTAAGCTGATTGGCCATGGGCATCTCTCCTCCCCCCTTATTTTCCTTGAAAAGAGAAGGAATTCAATGTAATTTGAATTTACAGCACCATATTTTTAGAAAACTCTCAGTGAGCGGGAGATAAGGCCACAACGTGGAACCAGAAGTTTATCACCATGTTGTTTTTTTCTGGTTTTGAAACTGACCAAGCAACAAATCTTAGAGTACATGTACATATATGATCATGATGTCATTTCATTCCCTTTGGTTCACAACTTGATGATCAACAAGATGATGTGTTTAACTCTGTTTTTAATTGTATTCTACTGTCCTTCTAACTGATATTAAATCATACAAGAAAATCAACATTTTTGTTCTTCATGGGTTTAATTTGGTAGAATACATTTGTTGGTTATGTCTGGACATTTTACTTCTTAGATCATTACAATCTTGAATACTCTAAACTCTGTAACCTGTTCCAGGTTTTCACTTTGTAAACAGGGCAAGTGGGAACTACTCTCCATTTTTTATTCTGCACTGTTATCATGTTGTGTTTGCCACACATCCTATTTGTCACACCCTCCATTATCTTAATTAAGGCATGAAACAGGCTATGATCTCTGGAGCTTCTTTATTTAACTATTGTGCATGCCATAATGTCACTTATTAACCAACTGTACAAGGTAGAGTAAAGAAAACATCAAATAGAGCACAAATATCCTGCAGTATTTTACAGTTATTTGGACTGTTGTTTGTTTTGTATTGTAAAAAAACCTGTTAATTTAGTCAGCTGCATGCACTATGCTTCTCTATCCATTTTGCTTTTCCCACCTTATAAGAAATGAACAGAGAGATTTAACAGGAAAAAAAGCAGATGGATGATAAATAACTTATGAGATGTTTTGGTGAGTATTGCTGAGTATTTTTATGAGTTGTGCTGTATTTTGATGAGCCCATAGGGCTAGTCACAATACAATCAATGAGTAAAAATGCTCAGCGATGCTCCACACCAAAATGTCTGATAAGATATATATACTCAATTGTTCATTCTTAATCATTTAGCAGCCCCTTTTTTCCTCCACCTACTATATAACTAAACTTTATACTTTATCTATGTGGGGGCTGTCAGTCACAACATATTTCAATTATAACAAAAATGCACCCTGTTGTAAAGATTTTTCATAGATTCAAAGATTTAGGAATAGAGCAAAAATAATCGTATACAAATAACAGCAAATTTCAGTTAAGAACAAAATTAGTTAAGATGCAAAATTTTCTGGAATATTAATTAACAATTATCTGATGAGAATCAAAATCATCAGGGCAAGTAAATTGATTGATGCTAAGCTACAGCAGAGGGAAGGGGTGAGAATGTCAAATCTACTCATAGATATGAACACAATGGTGTAGGGAATCTGACACGACTATCCTTCCATTGCTCAGAACAGCCATGGAGACTGGGGTACCCAAGCCCCTAATACCCTCTCCTTTTATCTCAAACTTGGTGTGAAACTTTCCACTCGAAATCTCAAGAAGCTGAACTCTGTGATTCAATTTATCACAGATCATCAGTCGTCCTGCCTTGTCAACTGATAAGCAACATGGGTCATTGAACTGCTTGTTTCCTACCCCTTTACTACCAAATTTCTTCAGAAACTTCCCTTCCTTATCAAACATTTTGATACCATGGTCACCCCTGTCTAACACAACAAAAATATTATTTTTTTGAATACAGTGAATTGGAAAGGTAAGGCGATCCCCACCAATTGTTCGCAAAAGCCGTCCACCAGGAGAGAGTATCTTAATTAGTTTGTTTTGGCAGTCAGTAACAATGATGTTACCATCGCTGTCTACAGATAAGCCAGGAGGCGTTGTTGAACTAGAGTTGCTAAAAAAATGGCTCAGGTACTTACCCTCCCCATTGAAAATTTGAATAAACTGATTACCACTTTCCCCCACTATAATGTTGTCATTTGTACCAAAGGCTATCCCAGAGGGTGTTTGAAATTGTCCCTGTCTATTTCCCTCTTCACCAAATGATCGTAAGTAAGTTCCATCACTACTAAATACCTGAACCCTATGGTTACCAGAATCAGACACTGCAATTTCATCTCGTTCATTCACTGCCACTCCACTTGGCCCATTAAACATTCCTTTTGAGGAACCTTGTTGTCCAAAAGACAAGACGGGTCTGAACTCTCTGTGTTTGGCTTCAACAGTAAATGGACTTCCATGAACATGCTCACCATTGATTTTCACTGATACAGGTCTGGTGTACCAGTTTTTACTGAAATAGGTAATCTTGTAGGTTCCATCTCTGTTATTTTGGACCCGTGTCTCAATTTCTCTTGCAAAAATTGAAGCTTCCTCTGTATCCACGGTCACAGAGTCACCCTCTTCATAACATTGTTCACCCTTTCCGTTTTTCGTTGTCACCAATATGTTTGCCTCAAGCCCTATGCAAAATTCAGAGATGCCTCTTCCACTGACGCATGACAGATGTGGTCTCGTCATGGTGGGAAAATACTTAAAAGTGCCAATGTTTTCATTGTTCATACTTTCGAAGAACTTCTGATTTTTCACGAAATCGTACCCCAAAAAGGATTCACAGCTAAAAGAAGCTGGGTCGTTAAGTTCATCAACTTGCTCATCCAGCTTCTGTTCTAACATTTGATCGATAAATTTGTTGGGCCGTATGATTTCAGCATCTGGGCTTTGTTTCAAAAGCGTTTCCGCCATTTCAAGCGCTGTTTCGGTGGTTTTCATCTCTCGCTCATTTTCGCTTCTTTCAACCTCAAGACGCTGGAGAGACTCATTCGCCTGTTTTTTCACTTCTTCGATCATCTCCTTTTTTTTCGCTTCGATGACTGATTTAATTTTATCAGCAAATTGCTGCACGCCCCTTTCTACATATGCAGCGTTTTCTCGAATATTGTGCACTTTTTCGTCAAAACTGGTAATTTTTCTCTTCATCGTCTGTAATCTTTCTTTCTCAGTCTCAATCGAAGACTTCAACACTTCTCTGCGTTCATTTGCAACTTCTTCCAAAAGTGTCTTCGCGTGACCGTCGTGATCTATCAAGGCACAAGCGTTGCAAATGGCGGCTTCACAGATCTTACAAAAGAATTCCAGCTCTCTCTTTTCGTGTCCAGATCTTGGACAAAACACTGATCGCTTCAGAACTTCACTAATGTCTTGATCCTCAAAGTCTTTGAGGGCCAACACGCGGTGTTCTTTATTAGCTCGGATAATGTTATGCGCGGAGACACACTCGTCACACCAGAAAGCACAACAATGAAAACAGTATGAACTTTGGGCGCTTCTCTCCTCACAATTTCCGCATTTCACTCCTGAAGTATCACATTCTTTGATAGCCAGCACATCTAGCAAGCTGTTGATACGAAAGTTGGTAGGCAATTTTTCGAGGTTTCCACTTTCTGGGACTTCACATTCTCTTCGGCAATCAGGGCATTTTATGATATCACGGCGGCCACTCGTTCGTAGAATATTCTTTAGGCAACGAAGACAGAAACTGTGCAAACAGGGGAGCTGTTTCGGATCATCAAATGTATTCATACACACAGAACAAGATACTTCTTCGTACAGATTATCTAGCAAGGTTCTCACATCCATGGTCAAGAATTCAATGGATTACCTTGAAGCGCAAACTGAAGCCGACACCTGCATTCTAACATTGACTGATGTGGACATGACCTGATTAAAATTTAATTTCTTTGTGTGGAAATGCGATTTGAATGTATGTGTTGGTCGTCTTTTGTCTCTTTGAATTAAGTGTTCATGAACCATTTCCTCGCAAACTCTTGGTTTCAGAACCTATTAATTCGTTCGAACCAAACAATTATAAAACAACAACCTAAAACGTCATATTTTTAAGAATGACGTTTTAAAATGCTGACTAAAGACTCATTGAAAAAAGCGTTTTTAAAATTTCAGCAATATTTGCAGATCTCCCCCTCCTCAATGTTGCGTTATCTTTCATAACCCTGGCTAACTGATTCCAAATCGTCTCCGTAGAAAAACTATTTATTTCATAATGAATAAAGGGGGTAAGTTTCTGAAGAAACTGAGATGTGGGAGAGTGTAACAGAGTAATTTTGTATTATCAACTGAGTTGATAACAATAAAATTACCCTATTTATTTTATATATATATTGAACGAACAACTGTGAAAATACATTGTTCGTCCAATCATGGAAACGAAAGACAGTCATCCGAAGGAAGGCAACAAATGGCTTCCAATCTTTGAAATGTGTCGATCAGTGAGAAAAAATATCAGTATGTATATATATATGTATATGTATATATATAAAAAAAACATCATTTCATGGAAAGTTCTTGAACAATTTTTGTTCACTCATTCTCTAACTCTAACTCGCGATTAAGAATCGTTTTGTGCTCACTTTCCATGGAATAATCTCTACATCATCATATGATTCCTTTACAACAAGGGATATTTCACAATATTTCAGACTGGAATTACTGTTAAGACAGCTTCCTTTGCTTGTTTGTCTTGACATCCTCGCAATTCAGGTATCCTTCTGACATTAAGACTATTCAGGAGGAGCTTCAGCCGGCGTGGAGCCCAGACGGAGGAGAGAGCATTTGAGCGTTAGGCGTTTAAGTTGGAACAGTATACTCCGGACTCCCTCCTCCCGTATGTGCGCCTGCCGCACAGCATAGAGGACACGTCATGTTATCATGATTTCGTTGAAGGTATGTCACGCAATGTATCTATATTGTGTTCTGTTAGTGCCTAGTCAAGTCAATTAAGAGTGGTACATTCCACTTCCTCTATATCCTTTCAACTCTAACGGGAGAAATCACGAGAAACCAGTTACTGTAGTTCTCTTAAAGGGCAGCCCTCTGTCCGTAAACTTTATTAGGAAGCACACCTATCGAAGGGAACGTCGAACTGAAAAAAAGCTAACACGTTTAGGAAAAGGCTGGCAGAGATAAAGCAGAACTTTCAGAAAAACTAAACAAGACGTTTTAACACTAGGAAGAGTTATTGCTCGAAAAATTTAAGCATAAGTGACTAATATTGTAAAGCTCTAGACGCTCATGTATGGGGAAAAACTTCCTCCAATGTTAGTACAGTATATTATAATACTGTAGTTTCTTCATAAACAACCTCTTTCCATATAATCGAACAGAAATTTCGAACACGCGTTCTCGAGGTGCTATCTAGAAGAGAGCTACAAACTTCAAAATTTAAGACAGCTGTATTTGAAATAACTCGATTTCAGGTCTATTAAAGTAAGTAATTAAATGGTTAATCTGCATGGATGGATTGTGTTTTGTAATTATGTTCTGAGCCAAACGCTGCAGGTTGCCAGATCTGTTTATAGGTCTACTTCTTAGTGACCAACCGTCAACCAAAATGTATTAATGCACGGTGACTGAGGCAAAACACGTTCTCAACATAAATTTTCTTCTCACTACGTAAACGATGGGCTCTATTTGTACTACATCTGTTCCGAGAGGCAAGCAACTGTGCGAGATTCAAAGAAAACTGTAAGTTTTAAGGAAGAAGTAAATGGCCATGGGGAGAAATATGAGCATAGTTTCGCGTCAAATGAAGGATACCGTGTTTATCATCTTCGACGCAATTTTTCCAGCGCACGGTATCTAGAATCGAGTTTTCAAACGAAGACGTTCTTCGTAAAGAACGAAAAGTTCAGAAATTTGGGAATG